CTTACAACTCGGCGGAAATTTGAAAAGAAGATTTTGTCTTTTCACACAAGTATTGTTTACAACTGGCGTTGTTTCGAAAAGTGTGATTAAGTGTTAGCGGTATATAATCAATTTAATACTGAACTTTTTTGAAAATTATTTTTTTGTTTATTTTTGTTATATCTTCTTAAAAACTGACGGCATCTCACTATTTTATTATTTGTTTTTTTTTGTAACGCATAAAGATAAGTTAGACTATGTTCGATTAACTTGGATAAGTTTGTAATTTTTTTAATTTTATCACAAAATTTCCGCAATGAATTATTACCTTTTCTACAGTGATTCTCTCCTCTTAGTTTTGACGTGACTGTAGGATGTTATACTGAGAGAGTCAGTTACTAAGTGGCCATAAATCATTATATGTATGTATAGACATACATATAAATATTTTTTGATTTTAATATTTATGTTTTTTTGAATTTTGATTGATTTTTTGAAACCTGGTAAAATTATTTTTTTCCATACCAATTGATGGACCGGAGTATAATGCCAGTTATGCTCTTTGGCTGAAGTTATTTTTTATTTTATGCTCAATTACAGACAAAACAATATTGATTGCGCATTTCTAAAACAAAATTTTACCTCTTCTCCTTCTAATAATAACTCCTGCACACACAGTTGCCACACGGCGGAATAGTTATTATTATCTATAAGACCATTTGCCACAGTTTTTGTTAACAGATATGAGTGTAACATTTTTATCAGCTGCTTTGTTTATAGTGCCTTGAGCAACACTTTGCCGGTTTCTGTTTAGAAAATGATGCTGGCTTTGCAAATATGGATGGCCGCTACCATTGAATATAATACCCGCTATGTTACGCTTATTTACATAGAAACTTATCATTTGCATAAAATTCTAAATAGCACTTTTTACACAAGAAAGTAAACTTTTAGAACAGTCCATCTTGTTTTTTACTAATTAAGTGAAAAGTAAAACAAACCAATAGGTCCGTGATTTAAAATTTTTTGCAACTTTTTATAGAAAAGCATGACCTTATCATAATATAATAGTCAATCATTTAGCTATGGAATAAAACTTTTAAGTGTGCCAGTCAAACATTAATGATGATATACGGGTCATTATACTGGAAATAGTCTTTTAAATATTTTGTAGTACAATTGACAATCTTCAGTATGATTGACCGTGTATATGACTTTTATAAGTCTATGTTATTTTTGATGAAAATTATTATTGCAGATAAAAGCCCTTTCACATTTATTTTAGTCTCGAGTTAAATTAATCCAAATGAAAATAAGAACTTTGGCACTTTATAACTGATCTTTAAGTGTAAAACACTGACTTGAAATTATATAATTATCAGCAGTTGTTAATTCATTGAATTTTTTTAAGATTGTATTGGAACTCTACTGGTAAAAAAAACAACTATATATATATATATATATATATATATATATATATATACATATATATTATAGTTCATGATGAAAATAAAGTATGCGCGTTACATCGTATCCCATCAAGAATTTCTAATGTAATTCTTGGTGTAAAGCTAAGACGTGATAATAACTGTAAACAATAGAATAACAAAATAATGTAAACATTTGTAAATACTTGCTTTATAACCTAATAAATATTATTTGACCGTAATAAAATAAAACAAGGTAGTCTTCGGCATGAAAATAAAAATAAATATTTTCGATTATTTTTGCAATATCTAACAGCCGGATCAGCGCGCGATTCTGATCCATCTAAAGATGCTAAATTTCAGCAAGCACTGTCAAATTCAATAGGAGTGACAGAAAAACGGTTCTTGATATAGAAGGGTAAATAAATTATTTAACCTATAAAGTAAAATCACTTTATTAAAAATCAAAATAGCCCAATAGCTTTATTAACATTAGACACATAATTGTACGAGTGCTATACTTAACATTATTTTACTGAAATCTCAAAAAGTTTTTTTTAATAGAATAAGGGTGACAAACGAGCACACAGTCCACCTGATGGTAAGTGGTTGCTACGGCCCATAGACATCTACATCTATTCTCGATTACGTACGTCTCACCCGTGAGGACTTAGATGTAATGCCTCGTTTCCAGTAAAAAGGTTCTCCGGTTCTTTACACTCACCATACGAAACACAGGAGGGTTAAACTGCTATTTTACATGGTATTCTGTGAAAGCGTGGCCCTTCCCCGGTCGAGCTACCCATTCGTGCTACAACTATACCTACTACTAATATAGCTGCAGCATGGCTCTACCACGTAAGAAAAAATTGACGTTGCAAATTTAAGTATTTTCAAAAGCAACTTTGCAATTATTTTCTATTGAGTGAATTTTTGTGGTATCGTGTTTTACAAACCGCCACCTGAAATACGTACAATTTTTTTTTCGATAACGGCGTGAAATTACAAAACGATCCCCATGCATATCAATGTGGCTCTATTCAGTCTCTTAATATGCACATACCTCGGAATTGAGAGATTTTAAAAGTTTTTATGCGTAGATAATGGAAGATTAATATTATATCTTATATATTATTACTGTCCCGTGTGAGGAAACCTTTATACTTGTATACATATTCTCATCATATTTTTATGGTTGGTTAGAAAAATTATATCTAAATGCAAACTTTCACAGGGTAATTTTTTTTTAACTATTTTTACCCAGCAAGTAGTAAAGCAACTATAATCCCATCGCTAGTTATGTAGCCTAAGATGGTGAATTGCACTGACTTAACAAAGCCCATTGCCATTTCACTTTAATATTCCGTTGGGCAATGTCAGTTACTCTGGTTCTACTGCGAATATCTTCATTGCTAACTTTATCACGTAGAGAAACCCCTCTCAAATTTAAAATTTTTACATTTTTAGATGATAGTTTGTCTAACATAAAAAAAACCATTAACCCAATAATGTCTTTATATAGTTATTTATACATAGGGAAGCACCATTTTTATTATTTATTTAAATTGTTTGATTTAATTTGATAACAGTGTACCTAAATGTAAGTATCTGTATGTATATTTCCCTCCTCAACAATATTTTATAAAGTCATACTCATAAAAACAGCGTTTTATTGTAATACATAATTATAAAATTGAGTATCAACTAATTAATAAAAATATGCAACAATAAAATTACATAGGTATTAAAAACTATCGAAATCAAAGTAACGAGAGCATGTTCGTTGCTCCACATCTAAATTATATAAAAATGCATTTTTCAATTTCAGTAATCAACGTCGCCGTGAAAATTTCTTCTTCTTTGGGCACTTTAAAAATTAATTTATTTAGAAAATAATATTTACAGTTACCAGTGTACAGATATTAACTAAATTAAGTATTTCTAGTCATAAAAATATTTATAATTGAGTATAAACTTTTAAAAAACTAATATATATTTGAACGAAGTCGCTCCAACACCGACGTACGGTCCACCCTCGACGATGTCCGAAAACGGACTGACAGGGCGACGGAGCATGCGCGCTCTCTTAAATATATTCAATTTCAGGGAAAAATGATATATTCTCTTATAAAACGGGGAAAAAACATAAAACTCTCAATTAAAAATATTAATATTTTAAAGACTTTTTTTTTAGTGTAAGAACTATTTAAAAAGCTTGTGCCGTTTTGGAGAAATTTTGCAAAATATGACAAAGATAGGTACTCTTTGGGGATTTTTTTTCTAATAAGGGGTTGACAAAAATACAATTTTGTTAAATTAAAAACATTTACCAAATCTTCTTCTATTACCCTGTATTTTTTCTTTGTGGATTATATGAACAGTTATTGAGATTTTTGTACTTCAATATCCTAGATTTTGGCATTTCAACCACTGTTAAGGCCTTAATATGCATGTGTTGATCATCGTGGGTCATGTTTTCGCCGCCCCACCTAACAATTTATCAATCCTGGTAATAATAAACAGCGGTTAAAGATTTATTGTGTGGCATATCTTAAGAATCTCGTAAAACATTGCGCTGATTGTTTCTATATATATTTTGTAGATTTACTTTACAGCAACTAACACTTACTGATGTCCTCATATTTACTTTCTTATTTTTCGCTTGTATTTTATAATTTTAATACCTACACGTATTTAACTGTGTTTTTATATCTTTGATTTATTATCATAATTATTATTCGTTGTCTTTGTATTTGTAATTCTTCGTCTTGCCCTACGTGGCCGCGCATTACATTATAATTTTAATGATTTTAACATGAAGTATGCTTATATTATACACTTCATGGCCTCAAAATCGGTCTGCGTCTTATCTTGCCCGTTGGGTTTTGTATAAATTTCTCTATATAATGTACTAGCTTCTGACCTTCATATCCACTGCTAGGATCCGCGTCTTCAAAGCCAACTTGGCAGCTGTTGTGTCTGGGATTGTGTTACCCATGATCTGCAGTATATTTTTCAAATCGTCTTTATCTTTACCACGCGGCATACGGTACTGATTTTCTAATAATGTTGGACAAAATTTTTATTTTGCCGAAATTACCATCGATCTCCGTCCTTTTTTATTGTTTTGATCCCGGACGAGCCTCCAAATGGAAGATCAATAATAGATTGTAATATTTCTTTAAGCGGTTTTAATTGTGATTGAAACGAAAAAAATACAATTTCAAACGTCTATTATGCACTCTTACACCTGTTTTACGTCGTCACCTGCAAATCCAAAGTTATAGTACTTTCAAACGATCATTCATAATCCAGTGCATAATGCCTAGTTCCGCTCATACGTTCCATTCTACTCAATATTTCACATACAATTAGCCTTTAATCATCAGTTATTACTTAATAATATACAAGTATAACGAAATTAAAAATCAAAACTGTTTTTAAATTTTTCGAGTTACTTTCACTTGTCTGTGTAGCGCTTACCTAACAGTAGTATAAAAAATATTCTATGTGTATAATTCATTGTGCATGCACTGCGACGTTTTTCTGCGAAACAACCTAAAGACTGCCTTTTTACGTCTTATTTTTTCACAGGTAAATCACACACTAGACGCCGTTCCTCGGTTCGGGGTCAACGGAACAAAAGAAGTAAGTTCTAGGTATACTCTACCACATTTTGCCAATACTATTTAGCATAATAAAAGAAACCTGTGTACGTAAATGTTCGGCTGTAGTCTATTGTTGTCAATCGTACAATAATGATTGTATTCTAGCAAAGATTGTGAATGATGATTAAAATCATATTTAATATTCAATTAGATTTAATTTTTAGAAACGTATTTAAAGAGACTATTTACTGTTTTTCTTTTTCTATCTACCAAAATCAACCTAGGATGGTAATGAAAGGCTGAACTGCAAATTGCTTGGGAAAATAGCGTAATACGTGTCTGAAAAATAAAAATAATTCGAAAATTTGTGAAGAGTGCTATGACAAGGTGGCAACGCCACGGGGGCTCTTCATCCATCAACATTGGAACAAAAAAGTTTCCCTGTAGCCTCTATTAAATAAATAATCAAGCTCTATTCCACATTTACATAATATAGTAAATCAGTTTGGCCCTAATTGATCATGTTTATGCGAAAAACACATTAAACTTTCACACTTAGATGTATAACTTTTTTAATATCATTGATATGTAATAGTGAGATTCAATTGAATTACTAATTTTAGGGTAACTTAGTGAGAATTACTACGATAATTTTTATTTTATACATAAAGACAAATATTATTTACTAAAGTACATTGTCAGTAAATAATTACATCACAATTTTTTATTTATGCAATTTTTTTATCTCGTCCGAGCTCAGATTGACGATTGTGTTTTTAATTAATGCTCGTTTGATTTATTAACTCCTGTTTACAATCCATTACGCGACGATAGTCTTATTGTCTAGAGTATGTTGTCGCAGATAAGTTTGACCAGAGGTTTGACCCCCTCCATCGTAGTCAGAATCTGGCGTCCGTCAGTTGTGGCGGGAAAGTGAACTTAAATTTACATTGAAAAAAAAAGAACCTACTAAAATCTATTGTACAAAAACAAAATACTTATAGTGTACAACGTACATAAATACGTAAGTATATTTTGTTCCATGGTGTCAACATCTAATAACAGGATAACGAAATGAAATCGCTAGTACTTAGACACTCCACCTCTCCACTCAAATTCTGCGGCAGTTTTAGATGTAGATCCATTAAGACCTAGGCCTGGGTCGGCAGAATGTGAGAGAAAATTTGACAAAACTACTTCAAAACCTACTGTGATTTTTTTGTATATCAACAAATTTTGGCACTTAGTTTTCCTTTTGTTTGTAAGATATTATTTCGTGCGTAAAATTATTTTTAATAATTCTTTATCTTTATTGATCCCTAACAATATACTGTTGAACATAAGTCTTTTCCACAGTATGTATTCCACTAATGCATTAACAGATGTCTCGCTTTTGTCATATATATGTCTCGTATTTGATATATTACGTAAATACCCATTTACGAGTAGGTACATACTATCACATAGTGTACAACCTGGGATATTTCCGTCCTGAGATCAATCGAAGGCAAAGAGGTGTTTTTGAACTTTCCCATATGATATAGATTCTCTTACCAGCCGGTAATAATTACCCCAACAAAAAAGGACGCTAGGGTGGATGCCCCTAATACCAACCCCGCCCCTGATAGCAGCCTTTTCTCCTTATTATTTCATAAATAAGGTTGCTAGTTGTGTTAACTACAAATATTGTCAGCTAAAAAAATTCTTCGTCATAAGAGGAGAGTATATTTCTAATATTATCACACAGTTACAAATCCATCAATGTTACGAGTACATTTAAAATTAAAACAAAGCGAAAAGAATAAAAATGAGCGCATTTTCCTAATTTTTTGACAGGTTAAGGACTTGATAAAATTAGGCTTATTTTAAATTATCTCATCTTTAGGCTTTGTGAATGCCATAATTGTATGTGTAATAAATACTAGTAATGCATTAATTTTTATTAGATAATGATAAATTTACAAGTTTTTATTTTATTTTAGTGAGAATGAATGAGGCTTTAATTAGATATACGATATGTATGGAGTGCATAAAACCAGCCGTTAGGCTGATATTTGATCTGAGATACCTAATAAGAAGTACCTAATTTCAACCACATAATATTACCTAAATGGGGTTGCAATAATGTGAAAGAAATATCAATATTTTAGACTTATTTTGGGAGGAAGTTAACATGTTATGTTTACATATATGTTATGTTGGAATGTATATTAAGCAAAGTTTACCAATAGTTATCTATTGGTAAACTTTGCTTTTCTGTTAGATGTTTATTGTATATTAAGAATACCGTATATTTTAATTATATTTTGATTCAGACAAATGAACTAAAACAATAACTCGTAAAAAGCTCAGGACCGTGCTTTGCGGCAATCCAAGGACAAAGATCTTGTTCAGCGGTGGACATGCTGTAATGGTGATGATGTTACCCGAATGATGTGCTACCTAAATGAATTGATGTATTGATGTGCTGCCTAAACTTTTATCACAATTTATTTTAATTAATTGCTTAGTGTCAAAAGAAAAATCGAACTTCTTAAATCCAAAACACTTCAGTAAGGTAAGCGTGCGTGGTAAAACATTAAAACAAAATAATTGTGGTTTCATATTTCATGCTAGTGACGAAGAAGAGATGTTTGAATGAATTTATTACTGTTCCTCCAAAACTTACTGACAATTGTCACCTACTAAAATATCAAAGAGCATAACCCTATGCTAGACTGGTGACGGTACACAAAAGAACAACATTGGTTGGCGTATATATATATCAGCCATCATGTGCCGAATGTTGTCCTTATATATATAATTATTAATTTATTTTTATTTATTCTTGATCAGGTTGCACACGAATAGACCGCGTTCAGTTCAACGGGAATCTTATTAAGATATTCAGCGGGGAATATGAGAGAGTACGATCAGAGACTGGTGGTGCTTCTATGGACCCAAGAGCCGTGGCCGACTGGAAATTTCGAGAACTCGACCGAGACAGAAGTGGAACTCTACAAAAATCAGAGTACAGGGGATTGCGACGGCTAATAAAGAAGGTTTGTTTTTAATCATGGTTTCCAGTTTCATTTTTGCATTATTTTTTGTAAACTGGAACTGTTTCAAATTCATTTGTTACTTTTACTACAGAAATAATAGTACAAACTTACGTAGGTTTTTTTTCGTCTTGGCCAGCAACCGACATTTAAAGTCTAGAAATTCCAATATCACTAACATATATAAAGTAAATATTTATTTAAAATATGCCAAACTAGACAACATTTCCATTTACCTCTCGAATAATGAAAACCAGGAGAAGAGACTCAGAACATATTATAAATACGAGTATGGTATAGATATGTAATATTTAAGTTTTTAATTTAAATTGCAAACAAAGTAAAAAATGGGTATGAATCATTAATCAGAATTTTATTTTAATTTTAAATTGCAAAAAAGTGTAGTAGTATATGTGTAGATCTCAATGGCTACATAAAGTGTACCTAAGTCTCTTGGTAGAGAGTAATAGGTGTTATGTTCTGTATCAATATTTAAATCACAGAAAATCACGACACTTTTTTACTTTTAGGGTCCATACACGAGACAAGTCCGTGACATTTTATCCAACCAGTGTCGTTTTCTGTCTTACTATCTCATGCATACCTAGGTCCTAGGCATATACGAGTATGATTTAAATATTTTGTATATTAAATTTAAAAAATATGACAATATAAGTACACACAGTCGCAATATCCACTACCATTTGTTAGTACTAATAAAACGACAACTGTCCCCAAATTTTCTGGGCAGTCATGCAAAATTAATTGGTATCCCGCATTATAATAAATTACTAAGAAAGTCTCGCGTTAATCATTAACGTTCCCGTATGTACTGCTCGCATTTTTTTGCTAAATCCTGCTTATAAATACCAAATGGAATTCTGTATACTGTCAATTTTTTTCGTAATATAACAGTGACAATCTATCCATTACGGCACATGCTGGTACGTGGCCATTGCTCCCCAATGGACACCTGCAACGAACTTCAAACAAAGAAGGATACAGATGCGTTGTCTCCTTTTAGAAATAAGATGGATTGACACACTATGTGGTTATACTACTTCTTTCCTAGTGGCTTACATTATGTTATTGCATTAGCTTAGTGGGTTTGGTCCCTTTGGTCATTCATTCATTTGACCCTATCATTCAAGTATTGATTCGTCTTACGAACCGGGTCATTCCGGTCGATTATACAAATGGATCATTTCGAGTTTCAGTACTCTGTGATCTGAGAGACCCGCTCGATAATGTTGGTCGTCGCACATTACTATATTCTTTGGTCGTAGGTCCTGTCAATCGTTTTATCGGAATATTCAAAAAATGTTATCTAAATAAATAAAATGACAAAGATTTGCAGTCATAGATTACTCCCTAAGATTAGGGAGTAATCTGTGTTTGCAGTTGTGCGCGCATCACGGAAAAACTACTGGATAGATTTTAATAAGGTTTTCTAAGTTTTATTTTTGCGATATCTTCATTTAATATAAAGCTATTAAAGTTTTAAGAAACAACGATTTTTATACGGGATTTTTCACACGTTCAACTGTACGTCGCTTGCTCTCGCGTTCGTCTATTTTCGAGATGTTGGTCCTGTTAGCCTATGCGGCTCTTACAGCTGTCATCTGTATTATTTAAATAGCTCGTGGCCTGAAAGACTGCGAGCTATTAAAAAAAAAGGCAGCAATAGAGGATGGGGACAAGCATGATGATGGTTTATGATTTGGTATTTTTACCAATCATCATTATCTTCCCCCTTGTTGAGGTTATTGAGCTATCTAACCGCTGTCCGAGTAGGGGGGGGGGGGTGTACGCGGTGTGTGTTGGGACGCGTCGTGCCCGCCTACGGGTGCGACGCGCCCGTTCCTTTATCCTATTTGTGCTTGTCCCATTTGGTGTGGGTGTAGTGTCAGTGATGTGCCTGCGACGTCTGGGTCTGATCGAGCGAGCAGCTCTTGCGTTACTAATCCAGATAATTTATATAATTTAGCTACAAACGAAGTAACGAATAACATTGTTTACAAAGAAATTTTGTAAACAAAGTATATTTTTGCTTGCGATCTTTTTGATGTTTTTTTCCTTCGCACATACGAAAACTTTGTTAATAATTATATCAAGCAACGTGGACGAAGTCGCGGGTATCAGCTAGTTTAAAATTTTATTGCAAAAATCAAAACTTTGGTGCGACCCGAGTCAAATGAACGAATCATTCACGATTGATACATGTCTATACCAGACCTATGTTGTCACTAGGTTTTCAATGAGAATAACGGAATGCCCCACGCTAGCGGCGGCTATCCGCGGCGGGGGTGCCGCCTTTTCACTAATACATTCTACTAAAGTTGTTTCTACTTAATCTTTTCGTTTAAACTACATGTTTAGAGTGAGCTATTACGAGCTACTAAAGATGAAGACACTAGCGCGTGACGAGGATAGTAAAGCGCGTGGGGTTGAGTGGCGCGGTAAGTGTGTCACTAGAAACGGAGTTAAAAAACGTTTCTGTTTGATTTTAGTAGAAAAGCGAGTGGAATCGTGCTAGTGTGAGAAGTACTAATAATCATTAATCGCATCCGTTCTTCTTCAACATAGCAGCAGCGAAAAGCAGGTTGACGGCAACAATAGCTATCTATTAGGGCAGTATCACCCCGATGGCCTCCTGATCAAGAAAGGAGACCAGGGTACTTTTTACCCTACTACACTTAATAAAAACTTAAAGATAATGATAAAACTTGTAAAACTCTTTAAGTTGAATATTATACGAACAGAATTCTTAATTTAAAAGTCATAAATTCTCTCGCGTCCATTTGATATATTCACTCGATATGGTTTGCAGGTGGTAAAACCGAAGCGATGCGCTCGTGCTTGGGCTCGTGGCTGTGATGGCGATGGCGATGGCGAAATCGCTCGAGCCGAGTGGGCTGCGTGCCTGCTGGCCAACCCAGACCCGCCAGCACCGGACTGTGAGTACCACCAAACTATCCACGCACTTTCTTCTAAACCTTTATATTTATTAGGCGCAATACATATCGAGCTATTTGAAGTTATAAGGATCTCTATTAAGTAATGCACCGAGGCAAAATGACTTTTAGTTGATTTATTAGTTTGGGTACAAAGTAATCGCTCGTAAAAACATATATATGCTACAGCTGTGGACCTACTAAGGGCATTCGTTCGTAATGTAGGTAGGTACATATTTAAATTCGATTTGAAACATTGCATTACAATAATTCACCAATCAGTACATTTAAGTAGCCATACATGAACGACTAAAATGTGAAAAAAAAAACAAAGGCATTTGAAGATCGCTAACACTCAATGGGACAGAGCGGTGGACACACCCTTACCTAAAACTCTCTCAGTGATTAGAGGAGGTCTGTGCCCAGGTGTAGGACGTACATAGAGTGTAAGTTTAAAATGTAATGCCGCCTATACACGATCGGCCATGATTGACAACCAAAGAATGGGCAATGATTGTCACAATATATTGCGCGGCTGCCCACACGATCGTGCATCCTATATATTTGTATCGTCATCCGTCCGAGACGGACGTTGAAACAGTTGCAGCTGCAGCTATTTATTTACCTAATTAGTTTATATGTATAACCATTATTTAAATGTACACTTTAAAAGAGTGGTGAAAACAAAAAAGAAGCAAAAAAGGTGCATGTTAACTATACACTGAAATAAAACAAGGTAAGTTTATACAGCATCGGCGATCATGTAGACGCGCGCACGATCATGGCCGAACTTTCTTTGATGATTGTCTGAAAAACCGACACAGCGGCGATTACGCTCGATCATAACCGATCATGGGCGATTATAGGCGATCATTCCCTCCACACGATCGTGATCGCTAGTATACGTCCATCATGGCCGATCGTGTATAGGGCCCATTACAACCAAGTGAATGCTCCCAGTCCATAGTCCATACAAAGGGCATATTAAAAGAAGTTAAATTTAATCTACAATAACCGATGAGTAAAAAATATAGATTGAATAAAACTATGCTTACGGATCTTATAGCGTTTAATTTACTTATTTTAATTCCCGAAGTTTCGGGTGCTTTACAGCAATCACCATGGTCACGGGGAAAATGAGATGTTTGACGTCCCGATGTCATAGTTAGCCCGGCTACCTTCAGTTTTTCAATATTAATTTTTGGTCCGATCTACTCAGAATGAGCTTATAGTATCTTGAAGTCTTGCAGTGGTATGCTTGGGGTTGTATTTAATTTTGTTAATTATAGGATGCCAAGCAGATGGCAGAATCCATCCATCTTCTCTATTGAAATTAGGATGTTTTTTTTAAATTTCAATAGCCTCTCGTATCATCCTTGGTAAGAATCGGTGTTCTCCTGCGAGGTTTTGTGGTTTATCAAATCTGATGTAACGGCGGGAATGATCTTGAACATGTTCACAAACTGCAGATTTCCCAGAGCGACGGTACCTCACAACAGCTATATGTTCTTTCACGTGGGCTTAATAGATCTTTTTGTTTGTCCTATGTAAGAGAGACCACATTCGCAATCATGCTTGTACACTCCTGCATTTTATAGAGAGATCTTACACTTGACCAATGATAAAAATTGACTAATCTTCTTTGGTGGCTCGAAGTATGTGTTAATGGAAGCTCACTTCAAGATTTAGCCAACCTGGTCTGTGACTCCTCTGACATAGGGTAGTACAGCAGGCACACGCTCGACCGTGACCGACTTCACTCGGTCACTGTGAAGCTTGTTGTCTTGCAATACTTGCTCGATGTGCTGAAATGCGGCGGCCAAATGTTTTCTGTCACAGATCTCTCGTGCTCTCTGAAACAAAGATTTTCCCACAGCAGCTAACTGTGATGGATAATGGTGAGATTCACCATTTAAATATCACTTGTTTTGGGTCTTTTTCCTATACACAGTGTTATCAGGATTTCGGTTGACTAAATCATCTAGGTAAGTTAAAGGATTGTTTGCGCCTAATTCCCTTGTGAATTGTATTTTAGAGTTTGTGGAATTAAAGTGGTCTAAAAATATAGTTACTTTGTCAGATAGTAAAATTGTGAAAGTGTCGTCTACGTACCGCTTGGAGAATTATGGATTTACAGGAGCAGTAAGAAGGGGTATTATCGAATTCGCGTCGAGAGTTAATTTTTGAGGAGTATTTCTTTATTAAATCGGTAGTTTTTTTAAGGACATTGGTTGTAGGGTCTGTTTTGATCTTTTTATACGTATTTTCGTCCGATAAAAGTTGTTGTATTTTAAAATTATAATTTGATGTGTCCATTACAACCGTAGCATTACTTTTATTTGCGCGGAGAATCGTGAGCTTTGGCCTGTTGCGTAAGTTATACAAGGCTATAATCTCGTCTTTGGGGAGATTTAGTTTCGGCGCTTAACTTCGGCGTATAAAGTACGAATTGACTTACGCCCTCCAAATCTTCCTTCCCCACATTGTTTTTAAACAGACACTCCTTATCACTACAGATAATTTCTTCGTACTGTATAATACTTTTATAATTTTATACATTATTTTATTTGTAATAAGAACGGCTAACTCGGAATATTATTGGACATTTTGTTCCAAAAGTATTATCGGTTTGGTGTGAACAAGAGAACAAAGTCGGCAAACCGGCACCTTCTTTGGCACCATTACAACGCAGCGTCGCACACATCCGCCAAAACACACGTTGATGCCACACACAGATACACAGGTACACACTACAAACATATAACACCCCTCTGGTTTCGTCGGGAGTTAAAAAGCGAAGATGGTGCACTGGTTGCATATTAAATAACAACATCGAGATTTTTTAAGCGTCTAAAAAATGTGGTAAGAGATATTTTTAAAGTAGTTTAGATGTACGGAAATGTGTATCAGTACTAATTATAAAGAATAGACATAACAATGTTCTGTTTCTAGTGTCTTTTGTCATGCCTTATGATTATCATCCTTGTAATCCTTACCTTTAGTTACTTAACCCGTGCATAGTTCGGTAGTAATCTCGTATTGATATAATTATGTACTGAAATGCCTGACGACGCGTGTCTTTTATTTGAAATACCTTTGTTATTATCCACAAATTATATACCTAGTTATTATAATGAGTGTAATTCTGTGTCGATATAAAGATAATAACCTTCGTCGTATAATATTTAATGATTTGAATGAAGTTGCAATTCGTACTTTAAGTGTTATTAATGATACCTACTTCACCATCAGCCGATCAATACTCCTTGTATGACTGCCTCGTTGGTCTAGTGGCCGTAACCACAATTTCTGATCATGAGGTCCCGGGTTCGAATCCCGGATCGGGTCAAAACCAATTATTCAAGTTTTCTGTCACGCTTTGCAACCTAAAGCACCTAAAGCCTTTGGTGGTGCGCTTGATCTCTTTCCGGTCATGTCGGATTACCGCCCTACAAAGATATTTAAATAAACATACTAAAATAAGTAATATTAATATAGTAATGTAAATTTAATAAATATATACTACTACTTTAGGCGTTTCCCTGACCAAATAACCTTGAGCATGCAATGCACTGCCGTCATAGAATTCACACAATTTTTGAAATTAATTTTAATTAAAAAAAGAAAAACTAAAACTAGAAACTTAATTATCATATAGTCCTACTCCCCGCGGTATCGTGCCAAGAACGCTGGCTGCGTTTCCCCGCTGAATGGCTATACTTAGCCTTTGAGCGAGGAAAGAACCAGCCCTCTTATCACCAGCAGCAACGACCAGCCGCGGATGGAGTTCCTTTAGGAACTTCACCGCACGTGGACCCCACGGACCGATAGTCTCTACAGCAAATGGCACAAATATGTAGTCATCTCTCAGAGACTCATATTTGCGCCACTTACTCAGTTCAGCTGCCTCTGATGCCGCCCCGGCTTTAAACGAGGTACCCCTGAGATGAGAGGCCGCCAGAGTGTCTACGCAAGTAGCATCCCACACTAGGGCTTTACCTCTCTCCCAAGGGACCAATGTCATACCGTCGGGTCTCCTGCCATCGTCTCTAAATATTCCACAAGGCTCTAAAACCGAGACAACATTTATAGAGGCAAGAGCCCTTCGGATGACATCGTTCAAAGAACTGTGTCGTGAAAACCTACCAGCGCTTTTCTTACATGAAAGTCCGTGGAGCCCAAACTTGTCGACGCTGTTACCACAGGGGCATTGATGGGGTTGACAAATCGCTGCTCCTAGTCGGATTCCTACGGCAATACGCAAGCTTTCCCTATCAAGTAATGTGCCGAGATTACTTGATGGTAAAGCGTGTAACCAGTGACTAGATTCCTTAGTCGAAACAGCTAAAAGGCGTGCCTTATCTTGGTCACTATGGAAATTATGAAACAAATCCTTCTGCACGCCCTGTACCAACGGAATATCCCACTGTTTTTGTTGGTTAACTTCCAGTGGAATATTTTCACCAGGACAGAGCGCTTGCCATGTCTGCCCTGCCTCCGTAGCAAAGCATAGGTCTACTTTATTATTTAAAATTATGTTACATAAGTCACTGACACTATGCACGGAAGCAAGGAAAGCAGGCAATGCAACGCTAGAAAGATTTCTCACACCAATGCCACCAAATTTTATAGGTAAAGTAGCTTGAGTCCAGGCTGTTGTATTTAAAGTTAAATTTAGAATTTTTTCTATAGCAATTTTAAGATTATTATCAATATCTTGTAAAATATCCGAACATTTCCAGACTGGACTCGAGCGGAGTAAGTATGTAAATAAGTAAGTATGTAATTCTTTTTTTTATTAAAAAAGAAAAGTGAACTTTAAAAATTAAATAAAACGCGAATAATATAGGTTTTTAATTTATCTATCCATTAGTGTAATCCTCAAATGATTAGAGCGTTGCCTTTAGCAACAGATGCTACATGCATCTTTTAAAAATTTTAAAAGTAAATTTTAAATGTATTTATGACACATAAAACAAATTAGAACGTGGAATGCGATGATAGGATATCGAACATTAATAATGTGCTTTTAGATGTAGTTTATTTCTTATAACTAATGAAATAATTGTCTCTGAATAACGAAGAAAAACGCACCATACAAAGGTTTTGGTCGGGGTATCGCCTTAAACCTGTGTTTGCGTATACGCTCGGACACTATAGTTCTGAAGGTTAGTCTACGCTATAACTGGCCGCTGTGCCGTGATCTAAATTCTGTCTGGAAGACGTTAAATTATCAATATTCCCCCGATGAAACAACAGAAAAAATCTTTATAGAATTCTCCTTCAAAGAGTAGATACATAAAGTTCATCTTTTTTTTTATTCCCTAAGAGAGTACAGTTAATAAATGGCGATTTCAGCAACAGATTCCGCGATCTTTATAGCATCGCACGCCCCGTTATACAGAAAAAGGTCACAGTAAGTCTTTTAAATTAGTCTGCGTATCATTCATGGAAAACTGTGCTTGTAGGTGTTAAATGAAAAAGTTATGAAAAAAAAACTGATGGAAAAATTGGTGATGTGCATTGTGCAAGCTAAATTTAGAAAGTGGATACAGAAACTGGCATGGGATCCGCTTATTAAACGCCTGCCCAGCGTAACAATTTTTTCAAGGTATTACTGTCAACTGTTGCGTTTTAAGAAAGCCTATGTCAGTGGATTTTAAAACGCCATTACTGTGAAATACACGTCACAAATAAAAATGAATTAATGAAAATTCCAAACTAGGAAACTGTAACAAAATTTTGCTACTTATACGTAAAGTACGTCTCCCAATTCTTATTTTTTCTTAACAACGTTAGCTCACAATAGATTAGAATCTGTGTGTTAGATAATATAAAGAATTAAGACTTATTTTTTCATATAACACCGTACACACCCTTTCTCACTTTCCATTTTAATAATGTTTACAACATCTACCGCTACTTACGGACGACGCACGAGTTTGGGACAAGATCTAGACTTCTTTCCAATTTTCTGTTATTATAATATCTCCCTCACGAATATGCTCTATAATATGTTCTATATTAAGCTTTCAAACTGAAAGAGAGCCCTGGTTCCGCTTGTTCGCTTCTTTAATACGAGCAGTATTAAAGTTGCGTAAGACCCGCCGCATGCATTTGGAGATCTGTCTGTTCAGTTGCTTGTATGCTGTCAAATCTACTGAAGACTGCAGCTTCATATCCCGCCTAACAGCCATGAGATTAAGAGTGTGATCGGAGAGTTTTGTGTTCTTCTGCGGCAGGTCTTGCAAAACTTAGCTCCGACCGCATGGACAGTTTCCACGAGCTTGTCATTAATATCGTCCACTGCATTACAATCTTCTAAGCACTGAAAACGGTTTCGTAGCTCGAGCTGAAAGGTTTCGGGACTTTGGATTAGAGCACGAGGGGGACGGAGCGTTGACTTCATTAGACGTGACCTTTCCAACTTAACGTTTAGGTTCAGTGTGCCTCTCACCATTCGGTGATCGCTGCCGGTTTTCGCCCTCGCGATCACTGGGACATCACTGAACAGTCATCTGGTCGTCATAATGAATTCAATCTAATTTTTTGTCGAACCGTCGGGGCTCGACCAGGTCGACTTTCTGTGGGTGCGCTTCTGGAAGAAAGAGTTCATCATAAAGAGTCCCTATTTCTCCATGAAGTCGGCCAGCTGCTGGCCCTTTTGGTTTCGTAGCCCTATTCCAAATTTCCCTACTTTCAGCTCCCCATTCTCTCTTGTGCCTAGTTTTGCTTTGAAGTCTCCCATTAACACCGTATAGTGGATTTTGGAGGAATGCATGGCTCTAGAGATATCCTCATACATTTCCTCCACCTCCTCATCGGGGTGTGCCGAGGTTGGTGCGTAAACCTGTATGACCTTCAGCGAATACCGTTTGGTGATTCTGAGTATAAGGTACGCAAGCCTCGTCGACACTCCCAAAATTTACAACGTTGTTAACGAGAGACTTGTGGACGATAAAACCGACACCTCCTTGGAACAGATGGTCGCCCTCCCGGTGATAGAAGAAATTGCCGGATTCGAGGATTACCGTGTCCTCCCCCTCTCTTCGGACTTCGGATAATCCTATGACATTCCAGCGCAACTTGTCTATCTCTTTTTCCAGCTCCAGGATCTTCTCGTCAGTCCTCAGGGTGCGTGCGTTATAAGTTGCCAGGTTATAATTTATATTTACAGTATTTTAATATTCCCACCTCTTTTATCAACTTCCTTTAAACTACAATATATATATAACAACATCGTTTTTGTTACACAATTCAAATGTATGTGCAAACATAATAATAATATATAGTCTCTCTCCGTTTCTTCATGTCGTTGAACGCAGACGACGACAGCGGGCCGGAACCGGAGGCCGATTACAACGAAGAGGAGCCTCCACCGGACCCTAGTGCAGGTAACCACAACGCATATATATCACTCCCCGTTATCATTTTGCCTCCAATCATTGTCATGAGGCTGTCCCCTGCTAGACAGAGAAATCACCGCAGTTACATTTGCTATGCAATCTATTTTACTAATCTCTACATCAAGACAATGATGTGGCTGTTCACCCTAAATACTTAATATTTATGATAAAAACAAACTTTCTGATAATACCAAAACAGGATAATGGTGTTTTGTTTCGAAAAGATAACGATGAGAACCGGAAGCGAATTTTTATAAACACCTATATTTGTCTATTAATAATTAGGTGTGTTGTACGATGACGGCATAAAATGTATTTTAAATAATGTGAACCAGTATTACCATCATCTTAGTAGCTTTTGAGTACATAATATTTAAACCTTTCAAATTTATTAAAACGCACTTATTTTATTTCATTTTAAACAATAAATACGTTGCGTAAAATACGGCTTATTAAAATAATAACTATCTAATATGTACCGAGAAAATAAGTATGACTTAGACATTGAACGAGTAGTGATTCGCCGAGTACTCGGCCACCGGGTACTCGGCCTAGATTGGGCCGAGTACTCTGCCGAATACTCGGCTTTAAAAAAAACGCGGTCTAGGTCGGCGTGCGGTTATTTCCCTTACAAACAAGATCCAAATAGGGCCGAAAAACTAGTGTTCTGCATCACAATCTTCCTCTCTTAAATTTTAATTATTAATAATAATAATTTCTTTCTATTATAGATTCTTATGTACGTTTCAAATATTTCTGCTGCTTCTCGTGTTTCTGATGTTTTAATGAATCTAATATAATAATAATGATAAAACTGACTTTAATTTTTTTTTTAATTTATATACTTGATTGAATAGGTACTTTGTCTGTTAGCATTGACAGCGGATACACTACATTATAATCAACTTTTTACACTGTACGTATTTTTCAGTGTTGCCAGGTATAATGAAGAACTCTTTCGCGCCCGAAGGTTCCTACTCAGAGTCACGGCGTGAAGACGAAGCAAACGACTGTCTGACAGACCGACAGGCTGTCTTGGAAGAACAGGTTCGATTGACAGCACTGATTGAATTATTTTTGTCATTTTCCAGTTTTTGTTCGTGTTGTAATTAAATGCTCAGCGACAAATATAAATTCTGCAATGCCATTTGATATATTAATTGCCGGGCGATTTTGCACGACTTGTTTTTTTTTTTACTTGTTTTACTTTAAATTATGATCTTCTACATGAAAGGTCATTATGGTCATTCTTTCGCGCTATTCGAATGTGCTTACATTTTACATTAAATGTCTATGCACTTCAGACATAGTCATGGTATCCTTATTATCTGTTACCATAAAAAAATGTACACTATGAGTTTTGAACGGAGAATTGGATGTTGTTACTAGGTACCCATTTGTATTAGATTTAGGTAGACCACCTCTTACAAATGTTTGTAGTGCAATGCATTATTACATGCTTTACTTACATTACCTTGTTTTCGTCTTATGTCATTGCGGTTTAAATATATCTCATCAATTTTTGGAGCACATGCTGACACCCGATTGAGCTGAAATTGAGCGTACTTATGTAACTACGTTGGCAATACAATAATATGGTACCATAGAGCTGATCTGAAGCTGGATCCGGATGCTGGTCCTTGCAATGCTTATAAACGTTTGTTTTGAATTAGGTTTTATATTATGTATGAAGGGAACTAACGGCACTCATGTGTGAGTTTTTTCTACTCGATACGGTACTCAATTCGATTGTGTGTTTTTTTTATGTGTTACTTCATAACTTTTTTCTGGGTGAACCGATCTCGATGATTCTTTTTCTATTTGAAAGCTGGTGCTTCTCATGACACATGTAAATTTGATCAAGGTGTGACCAATATTTTTTAAGTTATTCTTAATAATTTATATTGAAGTCGGTTGTACAAAATTGTTAATGTTAAATTATAATTATATTTAGAGTTGTAGGTGATCATGAGGCTGCTGAGACCATGTGTATACTGGATTTTTATTTGATAGTTCTTCTAAGTTTATATGTATTTATAAATGCGTTGGAAAGCTATAATTCTGTGAAATTATTAAAAATACCGAGTGTAGTGCTTTATACATGTATTATAAATCGACAGAGGTTTGGAGAAATTCTTCGATAAGGTAATAAATGAATACGATTAATACAAGTAAACAGGCTCGGCTAATAATTATTAATGAATTTTATTAATATTTTCATTATTTTTTCGTCTTTGAAAAATTGTGCCAACTAATTTTAAGTCAATAGATATTAGAATTAAAAGTATTGATTACCTCTAGAATATCAAGAACGTATCACAAATAAACTTATTAAAACCTCAATATATTAGTAACGCTAGTACGATCGAACAATTAATGTATTATTTATGATATTAGTAGGTGGAATGGCTAACGTGTAACTATAATTTTAAACATAGAAGTATTAGGATTACTCTAAGATTTTAAATATGAATCAGTAGAAAAACGAAAGCATTAATAAAAATTATTGTTTAATGCCGCGGCAACACACATCGCGCTAGCGCGAATATTCGCGTTGTCGTCCTTCGTGCGAAGTTTCAAGCACATCTCTTCGCTGTCGGTAATTCTCGCACTTCAAAGGGTTTTAATCGCGATGGACTTCGCGTGTGTGGCTACACTTCAATCTGACTACAGACATCGTGCGTAGCGGATGTGACTAAGTAAATTAGGGTTGGCGAAGTATTTCCGACATGGATTCGTGTAATGAAAAATATTTGGAATTTATAAGTAATTACGAGACCGAGCCAATATTATTTATATATTTTTAAAAATTGACGCAATAATAAAAAAACTAATTATGCCATATAATACAGAGCGACCGTGGCGTCCATCTTGTTTTTAGCGTGTGTATAGCGCGATAAAATTTACAACGCGCAGTGTGGCCAGGCACCTTCGCGCTAGGCCGAAGACAAAGTTTATCGCGATAATTGTATCGCGATGTGTGTGGCCGAGGCACAAGAAAAATGGTACCGTTTTTAAACTATATTAGTAATAATTATAATTAAAAATGGCTATAGATTTAAAGTTTTAAATCTCTGACCCATCGGGAAGGTAGTTTAAAATCGATTGCAAAATTTGTACTGAATAGGCAAACAAACAAACAGACAGAAAAGGAAGTGATGAGATATTGCATGGTCATTTAGTTGTGAGATATATTTAAAGTTTGGAGTAGATAGGTACTTGGTTCTTCAAAAAGTTATTTTAAAATTAATTACAAAATTTGTATAGGACAGACAAGAAAACGAATTAATAAAGACGTGGTAATAAAAGAGTCTGTTAATGCCCAAATACTCAAATGATAATGTATTTTAAGATGCTTTTAAGTCTCTTGCTGTCTCTATCATTTTAAGTGAAAGTGTCTGTAACACCATGAGACTTAACGACATCTTAAAAACTTAAAATTTAGTATTGTTTGAGTATTTGGCCATAAAAGCGATAGTGTTGTACTACAGTTATGGTGGCACTTCACATGGCTACTCGTGTTCGCTATTGGGTGTTTGTTGTGTTTTGGAAAAATATATGACGTACATGCAAACATGCAAATACAGGCAAATATTACCATCTACACATGGCAGCCAAATAATAAACACACAAACATTTGGCAGCAGAAGCCGATTTATTTACCAAAACTCTGGACACGAATTAATTTGATACAATTCCAGTAGCGTTCAATATCCCAATTCATTTTCAATAGTTGTTCCAGTTCGCGCTCACAACACAGACACAAATTACTGCACGGCCGTATAGGATACAGGTTGACGGCGCATGCATTTCTAAATATGGTCATTTTGTTGGCGGTTTAAATAAATGCGTATTTGCCTATTTGACCGCTTTGATGTCCGTCGAGAAACCGACACGCGCACGGAAACGCGTATTTGGAATCAGGGGTGTCACTTCCACTATGGAAGGTATGGAGCACTCCATACCTCAAGTTTTTCAAGGTATGGGATTCCATAGCTGAAATTAGGAAATAAATCGCATATTACTACAAACCCCATATAAATAAATCGCAAGCCCTTAAACCTCAATACCCCACATCTTATAGTTCAATAAATAAGTTGAGTATATACACTGCAAACTCTTACACCTTAATACCCCACGAGTAATGCGAACAAATTTGAAAATCGCGCCACCATTTTCCATACCTCAGATTTTTACAAAGTGACACGCCTGTTTGGAATTGGCCATATGAATTTGTCAAATAGGTAAATAAGGTCGACATTTTGTCAAATATACTGTCCAGATATGGTAATTGTTGCCAAATACGCAAATTCAAATAGCCATGTGAAGTGTCACCATAATAAAAATTAATTGTCCGTAGAAAAACGGCAGTGCTGTGCTGTACGTGCCCGAGTGCACGGGCGACGGGCGGTACGCGCGCGCTCAATGCTACCGCTCCACGGGCTACTGCTGGTGCGTGCACCAGGACACCGGCAAACCGATCCCGGGCTCCTCCGTGAAGGACCGCAAGCCGGACTGCGACGCTGCACCGCACCACGCCAGCCCCATGCGAGGTGACATTTGTGACGTGAATACGCGTTTTTTATAGAATAAAGAGTACAAACAAGCACACAGTCCACCTGATGGTAAGTGTAGTTGTGGCCCATAGACATCTAGATCTCTATCATCTACATATAAAGGCGTTGTAAGCTCATAAGAATATAAAATGCTTAATTTCCAGTAAAATGGATCTCCGATACTCTACACAAAACAAAGCAGTATCAAGCTGCTACTTTACGCTGGTATTCTATGCTGTGAGAGCGTGGTCCCATCCCAGTCGAGCTGACCCATTCATGCTGCAACTATAAAAGAGGTGCAGCGTGATTCTACCACTTACAAAATCTTCCATCTTTAAATGTCTTTAAATGTAACAAAATCGAAAGATATAATTTGGTGTTGCAGTTACATAATATCTATCATCTAGATCCAAAATTAAACCACTTAATGGCCAAAGGACCAAAAACATTGTGCGCGGTGGGAGGAGGTGGAAAATTGCCATTTTGAGGTCGTTTCGTTATTTACACGTATTCACATAAAATACACGGCCATGTCTACGACGCAGCCGCACCTCCGATTTTTTGATTAAGAAAGAAAGAAGGGTGCACGAGCGTGCGGCGCTTCTTTAATAATAAGTGACTATTGCCATCCATTAATATTCGTAACACATAATAAAAAATATAAGCCGGATTCAAGAAACTGAAAAGAAAACATGTAATTAGGTATATACTACTGAAGACGGTGCTAAGACATAGTGCTTGAAACAAATAAAGATCCAACTTCAGTATGTGAAATGATTTTATTTTCTTTCTTCTAAATTAGCTAAACATACATCCAAAAATACATTAAGTAGAATTGAAAATCTATTTTGAAGTCGGTTAAAAAGGAGTGGGATCTTTTCTGGAAGGTTCTAAATTCGTCAATCTGGCAAAACATACGGCGACAGTAAATTCCACAATGTGGTTGTGCGTGGCAGAAAATTCCAACAAAAAAGCACGACGACGACGAAGTTAACCAGTCACGCGACATTATTTTTTTTATAGAAGGAGGGTGCCAAACGAACACGCAGTCTACCTGATGATAAGTGAGTGCTGTAGCTCATAGACATTTACATCTATCATCTAATAAGAATCAAAATGCAGATGCTTTGTCACCCCTGACAACTAAGATGAAATGCCTCATTTCCAGTAAAAAGTCTCCGGTTGTTTACACTCACCATACGCTGTGTTTCATAAAATAGAATATTTTAAGCTGCTATTTTACGTCGGTATTCTGCGAGAGCGTGATCGGGCAGACCCATTCATACTATAATATAGCTGCAGCATGGCTCTTCCATGTAAAACAACACGCTCAAATACGTAAATGCGTTGAGCTGAGAACAAACTATGGGACGTGTCCGTCAGCCGCGGCTGCCAGACGCGGCTTAGCGGTGTGCACAGTAGTCGAGACGGCGTCCTCGGACGCTTCACTACAGTCATTCTATAAAGGTGTTTCAAATTTTCAATCGAGAAACATGACAAGCAGCGACAGCGAGGACGAATTTATAGAGTTAGCGGCAGCTGCCTTATGTTGTCCTCCAAAAAAAAAAAAGTGAAAAGGAGTGTTTGGGTCCATGATATTAATGTAAAACGACTCGAGTATGGTGAATTTCATACATTGTATCCAGACATACAAAAAGATGATAGACGTTACAAAATGTACTTAAGAATGAATGAAAACCAATTTAATTTTCTGCTTAGTCTGATTGAAAATGATGTTTAATTCAGCAGAAATTTGCTCCCAGACTTCCTGTTTTAAAGTAGCTTTCTTATAGTGCTGCAGTATGTAGTTATATAGGCTTTCATGGCCACGAACACATTCAATTAAATTTTCTTCGTCTGACATGTCGCGAGCGCGGTCAGTTCGTTTGTAACACTCGAAACGTCCGCGGACGCGTCCCGTGCCCTGTGCACACCGTCCGCGGACGCATAAATATCCAGCCGGCTAGATTCTGTTCGGACGTCTGAACGCTCAAGGACGACCCAAGGGCACGTCCGCGTCTTACGACCGATAGTTTGCACAGTGTAGTATTGAATGTATTAGCTAGATTCAAATAAGCCGCGTCTGTCAGCCGCGGCTGATGGACGCGTCCGATAGTTTGTACTTAGCTTTGGTCCTGATCTCTTTCATGTCGTGTCGGATTTCCGGATAGAGATCCGACTATGAGAGTGAGGAAATAGAGAGTGCACCTGTGCTTGCGCATACACTCGGGCAAAGACTGATACTTGAGACTGGACTATATTTTTATATAAAAAATAAACTTATAACAGCTGAAAACCAACCATGTTTTAATGCAGCAATTTTAAATTACGTATTTGATGTACTAATTTTGTAATGTAATGTAAGTAGTTTATATAATTCGTCATTTAGAAGAATACTTTTTCGAGAGATTAATAATTATTACTATAGATTCTAAATTCTATGATAAATATTTTATATGAGATACAAATGAAAACTTTAATTATTTCCAGGTTGCCCGGAACCAATGAAGTCTCATTTTTTACGTGATTTAATGAATTTCTTCATTTCTAAAATGACCAGTACAAACAACGGCACCGGACCTGGGTATGTAAAATATAATCATTTAATTTTTATTACATAATTTAAGTAATCACAGTCAGAGTAAAGTTAACTAGCTATTTCTGTAGGTTTAAAATTACATGCGCATCTGCTTTAGACGCATATCTTTCTATGGAAGGATATCAAGATGTCCGAAAAGTTAATGTGTCATTGTGTTTAGTTAACATACCCATATCTTACTATACCTTAGCTTACAACCTATAATCCAGAGTTAATAAGCAGACTGAATTTGAGTTGAAATCTGCTTACTAGAAGTGGTTAGAGGGAATATTAGTAATGTTTAATAGCATTAGGTAGGTACTATAGTCTTTGTAAAAGTGTAGAACTCAATTGGGCTCAACTATTTCCTTGTGTGAAAAAGGCACAAATGTCTTACATCACATTAGAGTAACACTTTTTTATTTTGAAACTAGGCTCACTCTTTATCTTCATCTGGCCCAAGGCAAAGATGAAGTCTACGATGGAGCGAGTTTGCCCAGGAAAAGCCTGTTAACACGCACCTTGAAGAGGTTAAGGTTATATGCAATTGGATAAACAGACGCCGGCAGGGCATTCCACTCTTTGGCTGTGCGCATTATAAAAGATGAATTATAGCGTTTAGTGCAAATATTCGGAATATCAACCAAGTGTGGATGGTAACCTGCAATACGTCTGGTATTCCGATAGGAAAATAGAAATGGCGGTATGAGCTTATGAAGCTCATGGGCACACTCTCCGAAGTACAATCTGTAGAAGAACGACAAACAAGCAACTTGGCGGCGCTGAGCTAAGCTATGAAGCTTAGTTTTCACCAGCTTTATGTCGCCGATAAGCCTCTTGGCTCTGCGTTGCACTAAGTCGAGTGCGGCAAGTTGATAATTTGCTGAGCCATCTCTATGTGACTACAATACTCCATGCATGTTCCGACTTGAGCTTTGTATAAAGTTATAAGTTGTCCAGGCGTGAAGTATCGCTTCACCTTGTTTAAAATGCCCAGTTTTTTGCCGCAGTTTGTGCTTTCGACTCAATGTTGGCGCCAAAGTTGAGGTTAGCACTTAACTGTATGCCGAGAAGCTCGAGATGATCAGTAACCTCTACATATGCACCTCGGAAAATAGGAGTCAGATTAAACGGACTCCCTTTTGCGGAGAATTACGACATATCTTCTCATCAGATATACCACAAAACTTGAAAACGAGATTGTACAAGCAGTGAGTGTTGCCTGTGATTTATGATTCTAAGATGTAATCCTTCACTGTTGGCCGTATGAGAAAACTTAAGCCTGATATGAAGCTATGCTCTTCTCTGCGTAATAAATAAGGATATCCATAGTAGAACCAGATTGACTGACATATCCCGGCTCGATCAGAAAACCAGCGCAGTATATCAGCTTAATGCTGCTGTGTATCATATGGTGAGTGTAGAGAACTGGAGACCCTTTTAACTGAAAACGGGGCTTCCATCTTATTCCACAGAAGCAAAAACGCATCTGCATTTTGATTTTCAATCGAGGATATGTGTAGATAGATGTCTATGAGCCACAACAACCACTTATCATCAGATGGACTGTGTGCTCGTTTGTCACTTTTTTTACTTATTATGTCGATCTTAGCGCAACAAAAGCCTATTCACTCTTGCCTCGAAAACGCCCAGATTGTATTTGAATAGAAAGACATTTCACTGTATATAATATAAAATCTGTCACCTACAACTAGAACATTAAATGACTTCACAAACTCCTAGGCACAGACTTCATTTCTGAGAGGGTCGTTGAGAAGGAAAGAGTATGCATTGCCTTATTACCTACAAACTTCACAGGCCCTCGAAATATTTTTAATTTCTCAGACAAAGGTTACTCGATGCTTTATTTACTTCTTATGAAAATTCAAATTCAAATTTTTTATCTGTTTTCCCTTTTCTATTATAACTATTTTTTTTTTGTAAATCTAGCTAAATCGAGCCAATTATAAAAATAGTATTCACAATGTTTAAAAGTACTTTAACTGAATATTAATAGGGACATGGTGAAATGGGGTGCATCAAAAGAAGAGCAAGCGGCCACCTGGACCTTCGTTATGTTAGACAAGGACAAAAACAAAGCGTTGGAGAGAAGGGAATGGAAGGCGTTCCACCAACTGATATCAAATGTGGAACAACTGAGACGATGCGGTAGAAAGCTACCGAGGTACTGTGACGTCAACCACGACTCCAAAATCAGTATTACAGAATGGATGGCGTGCTTAGAAGTACTGCAAGCTTCACAAGGGCAAACAAGTGAGGAGAATATATTTCTTGAGTGTTTTTCTTTTGCTAGACTAGATTTTGCTTGTGGTTCGTAAAAAACCTTCAGTGTAACTAATGTAAAGTTTTAAAGTCAAATAGGGAAAAAATTGTAGTCTTTTATCTTATATGTCATTCATTACAGCCTTTCACAAGTCCACTGCTGAACATAGGCCTCCCCCAAGGAATGCCACAATCTTATATGTACTACAGTACATATATATCATCGATATATATGTAGGTACTATAGTACATAAAACTCAATGATTTTTAAAAAAACTTTTCGTACAATCGTAAAGGTGTTTTATGTATATAAATCACAGATGGACAAACACCCAGACCTAGCATTATTATTTGTGCGAAATTATTAGTTCCTTAGTTCTGGGATGACAATTGACAACGCATCTCACGCACAAGTCGCCAAAACGCTTCTTGATTTAGAAGAGCCGCAATTATCAACTCGAAAATGCAGAAATTTTAAATTCCCATAAAATCAAATTGGTTATACGTGGTTTTAAAGATCAGGATCTGCAATCGCCGGTTTACCTGCCTATATATTTACTTGGGGGTCTATTTTCAGGAATGTAGTTAATTACTACCACCACCAAGAGCCAGTGGTAATAGTAAAAAAATTACTTTTTTACGGTGGTAGAACTACGCTCTCTCAAAATACCACCGTGAAATAACAGCTTATGGCTGATTGTGTTTCGTATGGTGAGTGTAGAGAACCGGAGACCATTTTTACTGGAAACGAGGCATTCCATCTTAGTCCTCACGGGTGACAACGCATATGTGTTTTGATTCTTAATCGAGGATAAATGTAGATGTTTATGGGCCTCAACATCCATTTATATTCAGGTGGACTGTTTGTCACCCTTATTTAAAAAAAAGACTCGATAAGAATTATTTGTAATCTATATTAAATAAAAATTGTTTCCGTTTATTTTGTACTATCACTGTTATCATTAGCAATTTATTATAGTAGATAAACACAAGTTTTCTTTTCACATATTCCACAACCCTGTTATGGGATTTTGGCCATAGCAATCACCAGATGGAAGTTAGCGGAGAACATTATTTTTTTTAACTAAACTGTATACCAATTAATTCCTCCATAAATGCTCCAGCAGAATCCGAAATTGCTCTACTTCTATCATTAGTTAATTAATAATTAATTTAAAAAAAATGTAAGTATCCAAAATTAAATTTTGCTATAAAATATAAAATATCTATTTTTTAAAATTTTATGAGCATTTAAGGAGCAATTAATTGACATACAGTTTAATTTTAAAAAGTAGATATTTTATATTTTATAGCAAAGTTAAATATTCGATATTTAATTTTTTTTTAATTAATTATGAATTAACTAATAACAACAGAGGTGGAGCAATTTCTGATTCTGCTGGAGCATTTAAGGAGCAATTAATTGACATACAGTTTAATTTTAAAAAGTAGATATTTTATATTTCATAGCAAAATTAAATATTCGATATTTAATTTTTTTTTAAATTTATTATAAATTAACTAATAACAATAGAAGTGGAGCAATTTCGGATTCTGCTGGAGCATTTAAGGAGCAGTTAATTGACATACAGTTTAATTTTAAAAAGTAGATATTTTATATTTTATAGCAAAATTAAATTTTTGATATTTAATTTTTTTATAAATTAATTATAAATTAACTAATAACAATAGAGGTGGAGCAATTTCGGATTCTGGTGGAGCATTTATGGAGCAATTAATTGGTATACAGTTTAGTTAAAAAAAAGAATGTTCTACGCTAACTTCCATCTGGTATAGCAATCCTATATAATACGTCTTTAAAAACAAGGTACATTTTCTACTATTTTAACTCGTTACATCGAAACTACAATAAACAAGCTTGTGTTTATTCATTTCGCTATTTTATATTATATTGTAGCAGCGAATTCAATTTACTATTTATTTTACTTTTTATTTTAAACGCGTATTTTTCTTAATTTTCATACTACTATAAATATTTTCGTTGTGTGATTTAATCAGGTAAATTGTGAACAATGGCGCTCCTTTTAAAAAAAAATTAATTATGATTTATGTTTTACAGCGGAAACAACTAAGGTGCCCCCAAATCCAAGAAGAAAAGGTCCCAACCCACTCGAGTCGATCCTAAAAGCTGAGGACTAGGAAATATATCATAAAAATAACTAAATGAACTTAGTTCATGTCAGTGTTGGTGGCTATGAAATACCAGTGAAGTATAGTGCAGGAGGAACTGATTAGGCGCCTAATGGATTGGATGTAGCAATTGTGGGAGATGTTTAAGAAAATTAGGCCAGAGTTGTTTATTCAGTACAGAATAAATAAGTCGTCACTAGTCTCGCAGCTCATCTTGTTTCATGTAGTAGGAAAGAGGCATAATATGTTTGCTGGGACTGCTTGTGCATGGGCGCCATTGCATTAAAATTTTATTGTTCGTGTTAATAGCCTATTTTTAAAATGTTGACATGAATTTAATTTATCGAAGTGTTTTTACGTTTTATTGATAGCAATTATGTTGTAGTGTGTTGTAACGCGTAGGTCGATGTTTCTCACGTTAGTGTGTGGGTCTGTAAACATTGTTTTTGCAATTGTGGCAGTATTGGGTGTTGCAGCGATATAATTTCAGATCTGATAGAAAACTTCGTTTTGACAATAGGAACATATGTTATATCTCAAAAGCTGTAATATTTATTTGTTTATATAATGCTATATGTAACAATTATATTTGCCGCTTATGAAACTTTGTAATAAAATATTTATAGAGTATTTAGTCAGTATCAAATGTAAGGACTATGTGATATTTTTCATCATTATTAATAAAAAAATTAGTAATTAAATACAGCTTTCATTAAATCAATCTAGGAAGCGTTAATAATTGAAATTCAAACTGCTGTCGACGTTTTATTAAAATTGTTTTACAGTTTTGTATTTTCTATGATTATAACATTTTAAATATTTAACATATTATAGCTACAGCACAATAAAAAGTTGTTTAAATACTATGCATAATAAATATGTGTTAAAAATTGTATACATTAAACACAGAGTATAAATTTTCTACGACAGTACAATGATTATGTAAAATGCAGAAATAGTCTGTATCATTCATTTACTAATAGCACTGCGATTTTTATTTAGCACATAATTTGCACAGCGATTTTTCTATATAACTTTCACTTGTCTTTATTAGTTTTGACACAACACACAACTTTTTTGTATTCATCTACTGTCTCTTCTAGTATTTTCTGGAAGATGCTCTCAAAGAGTTGGTTTTTGACAATGGCTTCATCTGTGTGAAGAGACGTCCACTCAGGCTCACAACGCCGCCATTCGGCAAACAGTATGTCATCTATATGATCAGTACGTCTGGAACCGACGCCTGGAAAAAATGATAAAAAGGCCAAATTATTTACTTTGCTTGGCGTCCAAATTTTATAAATTGAGTATATTTTATTTATTTCCTACATCTATGAACTTGCAACATCTTTGTTGTAACCATGTCTAAATGTAGCGTACATTGCTGCCTGTATTCAAAATTTAATTTTACAGTTACTAAACAAAATATATAACTGAACTCTCTGAAACTCTTACATGTCAGGGAACGATCACAAGCTTGAATGTCGTATAAATAGTTGTTTTACTTAAAATTTATATATCTCCCGCATTTGTATAAATGTAGACCCCCACCCCCCGCCCTCCCGCACTAGATGGAGTTACGACCTGGTAAGACATGCAAGAAGCCGATTGATTCAGGTGGCTCAGGACCGTGCTTAGTGGCAATTCCTTGGGGGAGGCCTATGTTCAGCAGTGGACTTGTGAAGGGCTGTAATGATGATGAAAATGATCATGCATATCCATGAAGTATAATTGACTTGATAAAAAAGATATAACATACATACAAAACGAAGGACATACAGCCGAATTGAGAATCTCTTAATTTTTTGGCTTTCTCTTGGTTAATATATTAAATATTTGGGGATTTGTATAATCTTTCAAAAATGTATGCAATATAAACACAACACATTTGTTACACTAAATAAGAACTAAGCAATGGGTAGCTAATATAGAACAAATAATAATAAAAAGATTCAATTTTAGATCCAAGAGGGTTGCGTTTTCGATAGGGATACTGAACCACAAAGATGTGCAGCAGCTTATTCCTGATAATAGCTAAGTAAAATTATAAAACTGCTGTTGCCAACCCGCTTGCCAACGTGACAACTACGGCCAATCCCTCCTATGAGGAAATCGAAGGGGAGGCTAATGTTCAGCAGAGGACTTATTATAGGCAAGAAAGGTGAAGGTAAGGTAAAGGTGTGTTTTCAAAGACCAATTTAACAGTATAAAAAATAAAAGTATACTTGCCTGATATGTTAGTAGGTGTTACACCAGATAGCACTTCTTTAAGTTCGGTATATGTTTTGTTTACCATCTGCCCCGTATCGGGCTGCGGTCTCTGAGGTAGCAAATTACAGGCATCCCATGGCTTGTCACTTAGTACCGACCTTTGCCTCTTTATGTTCTCTTTGCAAAAATCTCTGACAAATGCATCGAAAGGATCATTAATATCAAATATATCGTTCGCTAACTCGACAAAATGCCTCTGTATCTTTTCCTCCGTTATGCTGTCTGCTAGGAACATACGGGGAAGTTTAGACGTTCGCGATTCAGACGGAGGTGTGTAAGGAGGCGGTGGTTTGTCAGGAATCTCTCGTACCACGAGCAGTTGACATTGCTGCTGCTCTAAAGCTTTGATCTGAAAATATAAAACCAAACCATTACATTTTTATTAAATTCACTTAATAATTAAGGAAATTTGTTTTGAGGATTACATAACATTTTGCACATCTGGAACGCTATCTATCTACTGTCGACTTGACAAGGCCACTCTACCTGCTTTCATTAAATTCGGTATTTTTAATTTTATCGCTTTGAAGATAGTGCACCTTCTAGTGGCAGCGAAAAAATATACTATATCCATACCATCGATATATATGTACTACGTACTAGATTGCGCATTCCGAATATACACTATGTTCAACTGAACTGTACTGCAATCCGTACAGTGTGTCATTTAGTGTGGTTTCAATCTACTAGTTAGTCTGTGGTTTCAATATACATGCAGTGTGGAGCGGCACTGATAATACAACATTTTAAATTAAAGTTTAAGCCTGGACGTAAATAACAATTCAGTAGTCAAATATGTAAAATTATTTGTTGTTCAAGTGAATAAATAGGTAATAATATCGTAATATTACAAAAGAAAAAAAAACATGCAAAATATATTTCTTTATATAAACTCAGCGCGCAGGCGCAACGCGCTTAAATCAACTGCGTGCGCGACTTTACTAACTCCAGCGCATGCGCGAATACATAGAGTAGTGCACATTTTTTGTTTAGAAAGGCCTCTAGTACGTAGTACATATAACTCAATGATTCATACCACATCATCTCATGAGTGTCGTAAGAGGCGTCAAAAGGAGACTGTAACAGAAAATGAGTAGCAACATCTTCTTGACAAGTGAAAGTAATAAAAATACTGTGGTTGCCAACAAGCCTACCAAGCTTAGCAACTATGGCAAAATTTTGGTCCGTCAGCAGTGGACTTTTGGTACCCTGTGATGAATGATTGAATAAAATGCTGCAGTTTTATTAATTGTATAGTTGTAGCACGAATGGGTAGGCTCGACAGGGGAAGTCTCACGCTCTCACAGATTACCAGCGTAATCATAGCAGCTTAATGTTGTTGTTTCGTATGGTGAGTGTAGAGAACCGAAGACCCTTTTTACTTGAAAATGGGTTCATTTTAGCGGTGCGAGGATGAGTAGCGAGGCTGGGGAACGATGTGGACGTGAAGAATCTGCGAAGTATGTCAGGATCGTGACAAATGGAGGTCCGTAGTCTCTACCTACCCCTCTGAGTGACAAGCGTAAAAGTTTATGTTCAGATATGTTTTTATTAGCAGTTACACCGTAATTTGCTATCAAACTTATTAAACCGCTGTTTGCTGATCCCAAACCTTAACTATGACTTAATTGGAATTCTTACATTGAATGATATGTAAGATACAATGAATTAACCTTATAACTCACACTTTACAAAAACGTTTCAATTGTGCAGTGTTACATTTTCTACGTAAAAAAAATTCTCTCATTTTTTAAATATATTTATTTTACCCGTTGACTGAAAAGTTGACAACTTACTGTAAACAAGGTCGCCGCCTATGCCATGGAATTGTATGAACCCCTCCGCCATCGAACTAAATCTGATCGATTTGTTAACGATCGTGATTAATTGGAAACTATTAATTATTACTAGGCTTTTCATTATAGAACAACTAGCCCCTATTGGTAATATTTCATACATACTATTTATTACATATGATTCTGGTTTTTCTGCCGACTTCCAAAAAGGAGACGGTACTCAATTCAACTGTATTTTTTTTGTTTTAATGTGTGTTACCTCATAACTTTTTACTGGGTGGACCGATTTCGATAATTCTTTTTTTATTTGAAAGCTAGTAGTTCTCGTGTGGTCCCATATGAAATTGATCAAGGTCAAGCCAATAGTTTTTGAGTTATTCTTAATAATTTATATTGAAGTCGGCTGTACAAAATTTTTAATTTTAAATTATATTTATACGCCTATGAAGTATGGGAACAACAATAACTATTCGTAAATTAAGTACTAACGATGCATAACAAAATATTGTTCATTTATTTTAATTTAAAAAAAATGTAAAAAATATGCATTAAATTACAGTGTCGTGTTATCCCCCAATTAATTTGATATTGTTATTTCCTTATTTAACGTTTATTTCCAAATTAAGAACTTAAAAAATGTAATAACAGTGAACAAAAGTGAAGTGAACAAAAATTATAAATTTAATAAAAATTAAATAATTATATTTAGTTGGATGCGCACGGGTTTGCTATGCCAACTGCCTTTACAAACTGGTGTTCATTTCAAGCCATGCGTCCTTTTCCAAATTTCTTATGTAGTACAGCCCCGCCCTAGCTATATTATGGTTGTAGCGCGAATGGCTTAGCTTCACCGGAGTAGGACCACGCTCTCATAGAATAACAGCTTGAAATAGGAGCTTAATGCTGCTGTGGTGAGTCTACAGAATATGTATGTAGGAGACC